TGTATAAATTCGATTGTGCGCGGCCACACTAAGCACCTTAATTCGGTTTTTAACCACATTAATTCGGTGGTGTGCGGCCACACTACCCCAATTAACTTAAACACAGTAATTCGGTGGTGTGCGTCCACACTAACCCTAATTCGAATTAACAAAATCGATTTAGGCTCTACTCCGTTTGTCGAGGTGGAGTACAGAAATCGATTTAAAGGGCCCTTTAATTCGAATTAACTGGCTCTGTAGTGTGGACGGGTGAAGGGTTAATTCGGATTAACGCTGCTTAATCCGAATTAATCCCGTAGTGTAGACCAGGCCTAAGGTGCCACAAGTACTCCTCGTTCTTTTTGCTGATACAGACTAACACGGCTACCACCCTGAAACCGGTCAGAAGACAGGATACTGGAATAGAGGGTCCACTGGTCTGACGGTGCTATCATCTCTAAACCAGAAGGGGGAGTTGCTGCCTGCAGTGGAAGTCAGTGGCACCATTATTGGGCGGAGGGAGATTCCAGTGAGCTCCTGGTACTGTACCACTGTAGTTAAAGTTGCATAGCAGTTTCCATTAAACAAAACTCCTCCTCCCCAACCCCCACTTCCCTGACATCAGGCAGATTATAGGAGAGTCACGGAGCCCGCAGCTTAAGTGGAGGGGGGGAAGGGGAGAAGAATCCTTCAGATTGTAAATCTTCACTGAAAAAAGAAAGTTTCTCTCTTTTCACTGTCAAATAGCCCAGCTCAGCAGGAAGCTGTCTCCAAACAAGCCACATCAGAAGTGATGGTAGGGACCTCCCCCTTTCCCAACCAGAAGCGTGCATTTCAAAGCTTAACAGCAACCATTTCAATGCTCTCATTAAGCATGGGAATCTAAATGCAAAACACTTCACACACCACTAAAGTCATGCAGTTCGAATACAAGTCAGGGAATGGTTTCAGTAGATGTGTTAGGGACTATGCTTGGTTGTATTTTTTTTGTCCGGATCAGGCTCAGTAACAGCAGCTCAGCAGAGTCGCACTCAGGTGGTTCTTTGCAACCACAAAAACTAGCCTTTTATTTACTTGTGAAATCTTTAATCCTACAGAAACCAATGGGGCCAGCAGAAATTTACTGGAACAATGCCCCAGCACTTGATCCAATCCTGATGCAGGGCAATCCCCTGCTTCCCGGGCCAAATACTCTGACTCTGGGGATACCCCAATGCCTTTTCTTGACTTCTTCCTTAATGGAACAAAGTGTCTAAGCCAAAGAACTCAGAACTATCTTCTGTTAGCCACAGGTCCCAGTGAAAGAGTGCTGGGGGCAAGATAAGGGTGAGGCATCACTGGCAATCAGGATGGACTGGGATGCTGAAGGAGATTATCCCACAGTTAGTCATTCTATGCCGCAGTGTTTTGCAATGTACTTTGTCAGATCAAAGATAAGCCAGAAGCAGAGATGTGAGGGCTGTGCTATTTATTACCTTTCACCCTCCCTACTCCTTTAAGCTCCTCATTAAAACAAAGATATTCCAAGAAGCCTTGGAACCCCAACTACCCATCCAGATTCTTGCACCAACACTGTATTCCTGCATTCCCCATATACTACGCATGGACCGCTTACTTTGTGTTGTGGGAGCAGTAGGGACAGTCCACTCCACAGGCTGGCACAGTACAGAACTAGTGCAGAGCCTAGATGTGCTGCTAGACGGTACTGACTGACTCGGGGGATGTCATGAGAATCCGGCTTCTCTTCCAATCCACTCTTCACCATGTACCAGCCTAGCAGTCCCTGCCAAAGGATCAAAGAGATTACATGAGAGCTACTGAGGGGCAAAACCCAGCCCCCTTCCATAGCCTCAGCTGGAAGAAACAAAGAACCCACCTTCATGTCAATTTCACCCTGGTAAAGGAAAGGAGTTATCTGTTCCAGCACTGACCTTAAACATCATACAGGTGTTAGCTGTACAATAACTATGCTTCCACCATCAGTACCAACATCCAAAGCCTTCACAGATGCCATAGTCTCAGCCCACCACTCAAGAAATACTTAGGCATCACCACTGCACATCATCATCCCCCAGAAGCCCCTAGAGCCAATGCTACACATCCCAGCAGCTGCAGGCTCCCTTACCTGGAAGCAGACAAGCCCACAGAGGGCAAGGACACGCCCCTTCATGGGGTGGCTGAGCCAGCCTTTTCTCCAGAAGTAGACAGCAGGCAGAACGTAGGCCAAACCTACAACCCGACCCCACATTCGGTGCGAATACTCCATGTACCAGATGAACTTGAACTCTCTCAATGTCATGTCATGATTCAGGCTGTTGGAAAAGGCAGAGCAGAAGAATAAGCAAGGAACTCCCTGGTATGGAACAGTGGCTACCTTCACACTCCCAATTTCACAGGGGTTTTCTTCACCTTGGAGAGAACAGGGATAGCCAGGGAAGATGAGCACCAAAGCCACCTTTGGATCCTTGTCAGCTATGTATTGAGTGCCCCTTGTTGGAGCTAGTCCATTCCCATAGAAAGAAAGAGCCTTGTGCTGCTGACTCACAGTCAGTCTGGGCTCTGTGAACACAAAGGGGAGGATTCCCTGTCCCATCTCAGTCCTTCTGCCTGGAACCTACAGCACTTACATTTTAAATTCTGGAAACTGCTGGTATTTTTGGAACTCAGCCTCCCATTCCTGCTGTGTCCGTGGGGGCTTCATCTCCCTCACCAGGTGCCAGTCGACCATGGAGAGCCCAGACTCTGTCAGCCTAGGAGGGACAGATACACACAGATGTGACTCACTCACTCCTTAACCAAAATAAGGAGAGCGCTGGCAGCATTTCCCCAGATGAACTGCAGCCACCCCTCAGCAGCAAAGGTGATGGGGAGTAAGGACCCTATGAACTAGGCCAAAAAAAGTTAGCAGGCACATACTAGCCAGAGGTGGGTACAACAAACTGAAGTTGGAAGCAATGCAATGAAGATAAGATCTGCCTTGCAGCCCCCCCATATCTAGTGAGAAGGATATTGTCCTCATAACTGACACCATTTAGCCCTACATAGAGGAAGAATGAGGCTGCAATAAAGATCAATTACTTCTACAGAGATGATCACAGAAGGGAGAGGGGGGAAGAAAAAGGCTGGGTCTGTGACAGAGCCCACAATTAAGGAGTGGATGAGCTTACTGATGGAAAAGGAAAGGGACCAGTAAGACACTACTCATTTGGGGGTGAAGAAATAAATCACTAGCCACATACAATAGAGTGCTGTAGATTCAAAACAGTTCAGACAAGATTGGGGGTATTTATTATTTGCACAGCACTAGCTGCATAGTGGTGTACAGACAGGTATGAAAACAAGGTTCTCCCCACAGATTGCTTACAATCTAAACAGATGACATACAAATAAGGGAGAGGGGAATGGGTGCCAAAGAAAAGGCAGTGTGAGAATGGTGAATTTTAAACACCTGACTTGTTAAAGTTCCTTCACTCGTTTGTTTGCCTGGATGCAGTCACTGTTCTAAGATATTCTCTCATCAATTCCTTAACACTTCTGCAGAGAGGGGAAATGTCATAAAAGGTGCAGGAATTTAGAGGAGAGCATGGAGCTTTGGAGAAGCAGGTCAGTATGGAAGACCCAGGTACCCAGGGAAGTGTGGGAAAAAGACTTGGAGGTGGGATCAGGAGGAGGAGGACATGAAGGTGTAATGGGAAGGCAGTCAATGAAAGATATTGCTACAAAGGACAAGATCAGGGTTCTGTCTGGCTCAGTATTGTCTCAGAATCCCCCAAACCATATGCTTCAGAGGAAGACATGAGAAACCATGCAGGTCCATCTGGATGGGGTGGCGAGGGGCCTTTAAGAAAAGCAGGTTAACGTGGCACACAGGGAAAAGGGATGGCAATGCAGGAAACTGAAGGTGGGCTGGAAGTAGATCAATAGTATTTTCAGCAGCACTTTGTGTGGATGAGAGGTAGTGATGTAAATAACGTGTAAAAACAATAACCATGTAACTGATGAACTGCGGGGAGGGGGAGCTGCAGCATCCCCATGTTTTAGGCAGGGCTCTGCTGCGCGCCACGGGGGTTCCTAGGGCTCTGTGTGGGGCGGCAGCTGGGACCCCGGGCAGAGTTTAATCGTTAACAGAAATGGATAAGTATCAAGCTTATAGGATAACTGATTAAACTTTTACATTCCTAGGCGAGGGGCCTGGCCAGAGGCAGCTGCTGCAGGGACTCTGCGGAGCCCCGGCCCGCCGGGCGGGGCCTGTGTAGGGCCCGAGGCGGGGTCTGTGTAGGGCC